CCCCAAAACCCCAAAACCCCAAAACCCCAAAACCCCAAAACCCCTGAGGGGTTGATTAATTTGAAATTATACTAAATTTGAATGTATACATTATTCACGAGGATAGAAATAATCTTCAAAGACTTCAACTTCATACATCAGGCGTTGCACAAAGCATTTTCTGAGAATTTTCTCAGTCTCTTTGTACCTCAGCCCTTCTTTAGTCTCCAAGGTTTCGAGGCTGAGAAGTGTTGGTCTAAGAACAAGTTCAGTAGCATCCATGTTCTTTTGCCTAAAGTAGCAAACTCCAATATAGAACCTCGCCTGAGTCTTCATTTTGAGGTAAGTGTCTTGGTCCATATCTTGTTGGAAATAATCAAGGATTAGTCAGTAATCGTTTAGGGATCTGATTCCTTCTTCTGTTTTAATTCCACTCTCAGCACAGATTTTACCAATCTGGTAGAGAAAATCTACATCTGTTGAAACAGAGAAGTTCTCTATTTCATAATGCATTTCTTCTGGAACTTCTAAAGGTTCTATGTTTCTTGGGATATTTGATCTGGTATGACCATGACCAGTAGCTCTTGCATCGTTAATCGCAAATGAAAATCTAGAGCTTTCACTTGATCTAGAATTATTCAAACCAGGATTAAGCCCTCTGAAACTGGAAGGCTGATGCTCAATCCTCGCCTTACGCTTTTTCTGAGATGGCTGAGAAGTCTTTCCTACAGAAAATTTGTAACCATCTTCAACTACTGAGCTTGCTTCTTGGGAATGTTCTGTATCATTAGCAACATCAAAGGGGTTCTTTGATTCTTCAATATTGACAATTTCTCCATCCTTAAAGTAGCTTAGTCCCGGAATAGGAAGAGGAGGAATCACACTGATTTGTCTCTTAAGAACTTGAATTGCTTCGTCATGCTTACCCAGCATGATTAAGGTCTTTGCTCTCAGTGTATGTGCTTTCATCCATTCTCCAGTTGGCACAGAGGTATGCTCAGCCTCTTGGAGCATTGTGTAGGAGACTTCTTCCATTTGGGAGACTTCTCCAATTTTCAAGAGGAATTCCCAATATTTAAAGTGGGCTTCAAGGAAGGAGGGGTATTGGTCAATTATTCTTTGAAATACACTGTTAGCTTCAGCTTTATCCATCTTGATTTCCCATGCAATGACAGCTCTAGTAAGGGCTCCATTCATCTTATCAGCTCTAAGGAGAGCATTTCAGGTGGATATGAGGCTGTCAATGCTGGTTTGCTTGATGTTGATATCCTTGTGCTCCTTTACAGCTTGCTGAACAGCTTTAGCCTTCTTCTTGATAATGTACTCCATTTTGTGAATATCATAGTACTCTTCAATGAAGGATTTTATCATCCTTTTCTTATCTGGAGGGCATCCATAAGGATGAAATGCCTTATCCTTGAACCTCTCATAACTTGTCTGGAAGTAATCAAAAGCTTTCAGAGGCTGCTTTAACTTACGATAAGCCATCCCTAGGTAGAAATTCACTTCAGCCTTCCTGTGACTGTAAGTTGATTTTAGGCATGTTTGGAGAATCCCTATGGCACTTCCAAGGAAATTTGGCAGACCAGACATCACTTCGTATATGCCTAGCCTGAATAGGAACACTGTAAAAGTAGGCTTTTTGCAGAACTCTCTCTGAAGCAGTTCAAATCACTTAATGTAGTGTTTTTCGAGAAACAGCATCTCTGCATACAGAAGAATCGTTCAGACCTCCAGCTCAAGAAGAGAGTTCAAGTTCTCTAAATTATAAACTCTCTCTATCGTATCAAGCGAATGTGAGAAATGCTTATTCTCTTTGTCATGAATTCACAATTTGATAAACGCATGGGGAATTTTTGGGTATTTTTCAACTAAATGAATGTAACTCTCTCTTCCCTGTACAAATTTCTCTGGATCAGTCATCTTTAGGTCAGCAAATGCAAGCTCTCCAAGGTAAGGGTTCAGCTCATTTAACCTGTCAGCATACTTGGAAGGACTTTTACTGCTATTACTTGAAATCTTGATACCTCTTGCTCTGAACTTAATCACATCGATCATGGTTGTGAATAGAAGGTATAATGCGAAGAGATTTCTTCTGTGATTTTCAAGAATTTTCTTTCACAACTCTTCTCATTTCCTGAGAGCTTCGATTCTTTTGTTCTTATCCATGATGGTCTTGAAGATGTAATATAGATAAAGGGCCTTCCATGTGAGATATTGAAGATCATTCTTGTTCTGAGTCATTGCAATATTTATCTCATCTAGAGCTGAATGATAGGATCCTAGGGAGAAATACACTTGTGAGAGTCCGTAATGCACTTCATACAGCTCAGGATTTTTGTTGAGGAAGTCTTTAAGGTATTTCTTAGATCTACTGACTTCGAAGTCGCTGACCAAGTCACAGTTGATGATGATGAGAATTATTTCCATCTTCATTATTTCCTTTTTAGTCTGACTATCCTCTGTAGGAGTTGATGACGACTCACTAGTATTAGCAAAGCTAGTGAAGATTGCTGGTGGCTGCTGATTTGCAACCTCAAGATCTTGAACTCCCAATACTTGGATGTCAGAAGAGTTCCTAAGGATAGTTGCTGTGTTGCTAGATTGCTTTGTTTCTTCAGTTTCGTGCTTCATGTGTTCCCGATCGTCTCTCATTCCAGCAGGGGTGAGCTTGTCAAGTGGGTTCATTGGCTTCTTGCGATGAATCTTTGTAGAAGAGTCGTCGAAATAATTGTCTTTCCTGGCTTCTTTCATTCTTTTGTTCCATTCTTCGTATTGATCACTTATTACTTTTAGGCCAGTATTCTCTGTCTTGTTCTCGCTGGAGACTGTGTGAGATTTATTACTATCAATTTTTGATTTGGGACTATCTTTTTGAGAATCACTATTTGACGGAGTGCCCACAACTTCAGGCACAACTGGCTGTTTGAAAGGGTTAAAGAAGCCATTTTCATCATCCTGACTTTTGAGTTGCTCTTGCGTATTCTCACTTTCAGGATTGGTATCATTACGAAGTCCCCACACTACATTCCTAGAGCTAGTTTCTTCTTGAGGAGAAGTCTTGCCTTCAAACATTTTTCGAAGTTGTTCCTCTCTCTTTTTAGCATCAAATGTTGGTTTTTCTTTTGGTGGCTCTTTAACTTCCTCTGCATCTTCGATCAGACTCTTGAGATCAAGAATATTACTTGAGTCGAAGAGAAGACTTTTATCCTCAGTAAGAGTATCACTGCCTTCCTTTCCGCCAAACAGGATTGAGGTGTCAATGGAGTATTGTCTCTTGTGTCCTCCTCCAATATTTGAGGTATTTAAGGAATGATCCATAATTGATTCTTCATTACCATTAAGTAATCCTTTGAGATTCTTGGTCATTTCAGAGCTAATATCTAATAAAGCGCTATCATCAAGGTTCATAAGTTCCTCGATGTTCGAGGACTCTACCTTCACTTGCTTGAAGTCATCCTCAATTTGGTTGTTAGAAGAGTCTTCTTCCAAAGACTCTGCCTGCTGACGGGCTGCTCTTCGTGATTGTTTTTCAGGTGTTTTCTCCTCTTCTCGATCAAATCTGGGGGTATCATAGGCATCTTTTATATCAAAATTACCTATAAAATTGGGTGAATTCAGGACATTTTTAGGAAATGCTTCAGAACTGAGGGAATCCTTTGAAGTTTGCCCGAAGCAGGTTTCCATCAAATAATTGTAAATAGAAGAAGCTCAGGCGTAACTTGTAGAATCAGAAGGTTGGGAAAGTAGCACTTACCGTCAAAATCTTCAGAAGAATCCATATGGTCTTTTTGGTTACTCTTATGAGGGCCGCGAGTTGAAGACAACTGCTCTTTTTGTGTGGTTTGGATAAAGTGCTTTAGCTTTGAAGTATCCATGTTGGGAATTCCTACAGATAATTTTTGAGTCTTCTTTGGCGATACATTTTCGGAATGCGGTATCCGCGTGGTGTTTAAGTTCATACTCTTGTTTGCCTCCTTGTCGTTTTGAGATTTTAGAGTACTTCTGTTTACTCCCATGAGAAGGTCATAAGATCTATTTAGCTCTTCATCGCTCCCATTTTCAATATCACTCTCTTGTTCTTCAATTGGGTGAAGGTTTAAAGCCATACTACCCATTGTTCGGATGCTTGATTTTGTCCTATTTCTTTTATTGTCTTTAGATTTAGCTTGCTCCTTTGGCTTTCTTCTTTCTTTTCTGTCTTCAAGACTGCCTCGATCTTTCTTTTTGCTTAGTTTCTTGTCATATAATGATTTGCTTGGCTTCTCATCAGAGTCTCCTCACATTGACTCGTATTTCTTAAGCAGCTGGTCCATCCTTTGACTTCTTGTCTGAGCCTCTGCAGATTTGTTAACTTTCCTTCCTATAATTGAAATTAGATTTGAGTAGAAATAAGGTATAATCAGTCAAACTAGCTGATTTACAAGGTATAACATTACAAATCACAAAAATCTTTCCCATTCCCTCAACCCTATCCAGAACCCACCCAATACCATGTCTCAAATACCAAAATCATGAACTTAAGCCCTAAAACCCCCTCCCACATACCCCAAAACCCCTCTCTCCCCTCCTTTCCTCCTCCAGTTCCCCAATCATCCCCAAAATCTACTCACCTTCCATTTTCTACTAATAATATTAATTTGGGGTTTTGGGGTTTTGGGGTTTTGGGGTTTTGGGG